TGGCTGGGTTCAGGCTCAGACAAGGTGCGCCAATGGCTGCAGATGCCAGGAGGTGCAGGCTAACTTAGATTATATGCCACTTTGCCAAGAAACTACTGTGGCTTGGGGAATAAATCTATGTGGATTCTGTCTCCACACATTGTCTACCAGTGGCAGAAGAGACAAACCAGGAAGTGGACTTTTTTTCTCTGTCTCGCTTTTGTTTTAAAAGTTGTTTTTTGTTTGTTTTCTGTTTTCGCATTTGTTTCCTTTATTGTCTGAAATTGTTTTTAAATGAGGGTGAATGTAGTGTCTAGCCTCTTTGTGGTTGTGGTCCTGTTCTGTTCTTTTTAGCTCTTCCCTCTTTCCCTCCAGTGTTTTCCATGTTTCACAAAGTTAGTGCCCTTTGTCCTCCAGCCTTATTTCTAGTCTCTTCCTCTTCTTCCATTTCTCTATATTCTCCCTAACCCATTTTATTTTTTTTTCCTTTTTATTTATTTATTTTTTGTATTTAGTGCAGGGTCTACAGGGTCTTTACGGTCTCACTACACAGATTGGACTTCTAGTGATTCTCCTGTTTTCAGCCTCCCAACTGCTGGGATTATAGCGTGCCACCACCCCCAGTCTTAATTGCTGTCTCAGTGGGCTCCAGGATGGATCTGGCACAGCAGGCCAGGGATTAAGCCCCTGCATCTGCCTAAGCAGGCGCTTTAATCTGCTGAACTATCTGGCTGGCCCTAAATTTGAGAAGGATTTTTTTTTTCTTTTCTTTTTGGCTGGTTTAGGATACCTAAAGGGTGGGGCTGGTGCAGCAGGTGGAGCTGGGGATCAAACTGTGGTCCCCTGCACCTGACTGAGTTTACCCAAGCAGGTGCTTTAAACAACTGAGCTAACCCACAAGCCTCCCACCCTAACCCATTTTAAATTTTAACTACTGAGGGTCAAACTGACATATTAAGGATTTGTATACTGTATACAATTTTATAGTTTGTTTTAGATTTTGTTATATAATCACAGATCTAGTTCATATGGCTAAAGGTGGCAAATTGATGGTTACTTCAGTTTGTCATTTTGTAGGCTGTTTTATGTTATTCTTACTGGTACCAGTATAGCCAAAAGTGACATAATTGTTCAAAAAAGCTGCTCTTCCTGGTAAGATAAATGTAATACACTATATTAACAGAGCCAAGAACAAAAATCATGATCATCTTAATGGGTATAGAAAAAGCTTTTGACAAATTCCAGCACCTAGTCGTGATAAAACCATAAAAAATTAAAATAGATGATCTTTATCTCAATCTAAAAAAGCTATCCATGACCAGCCAACAGCCAATATCATACTAAATGGACAAAAACTGTAAGTTTTCACTCTAAAATTAGGAACACGACAACAATGTCCATTGTCTCCACTCTTATTCAACATAGTCCTGGAAACTTTAGAGAGAACAATTAGACAAGAGAAAGAAATAAATGGAATAGTGGTAGGAAAGGAAGAAGTTAAATTATCATTTTTGTAGATAACATAATACTCTACATAGAAAACCTCAAAAACTCCACTAAAAATACTGCTGGAATTAATTAATGAATTCAGTAGTGTAGCTGGACACCAAGTCAACACTCCAACATCAATAACCTTTCTGTATACAAATAAAAAAGTCACTGAGAGAAAAATTAGGGAAACAACACTTTTCATAATAGCATCCAAAAAATGATATAGTAATCAATCTAACAAAGGATGTCAATGACTTCTGCATTAAAAAGTACAGTATTCTGAAAAAGGAAATTGAAGCATATATCAGAAAATGAAACGATATCCCTTACTCTTGAGTAGGAAGAACCAATATAGTGAAAATGGACATATTTCCAAATCTGTTACACAGCTTTAATGCAATTCTAATCAAAATTCCAACAGCATATCTCACAGAATTATAGAAAAAAATCCTAAAATTCATTTGGAACCGGAAGAGACTAGAATAACGAAGGCAATTCTGGGCAACAAAGGCAAGGCAGGTGGTATTACAATCCCTGGCTTGAAATTATGCTATAAAGTTACACTGATAAGAACAGCCTGATAGTGGCAAAGCAAACAAACAAACTAGACAAAAATATCAGTGGAACAGACTGGAAGATGCAGAAACTCCAAACATACTCATCCACCTTATCTTTGACAAAGGTGCCAAACACATTCATTGGAAGGATAGGCTCTTTAAGAAATGATGCTGGAAAAACTAATTTTGCACATGCTGAAAATTAAAATTGGACCCATATTTTTCACCATGTCTAAACTAAATTTGAAATGGATTAAAGATCTACATATTAAGGCAAAAACATTATGCTGGAAGATAGAATAGGTAAAGTTCTTGAAGTCATTCGTGTAGGCAAAGACTATACCAATTAAGTCGTTATGAATAAAACCTCAATTATACAGAAACTATCACAAAAATCAACAACTGGAATACCATCTTATTAAAAAGCTTTTGCACAGCAAGAAAAACTACCAATACAGTGAAAAGGCAACCCACAGTGTGGGAAAAAAGTGCCTGCTGTTTCTCAGACAAAGGACTATTACTGAGAAAGTATAGAAACTAAAAAAAATCAAACCTACAAAATTTAAAGACCCAATCAAAAAATGGTCATCTGAGATGAAAAAAACATTTCTTAGATGCAGAAATACAAAAAGCAAATAAATATATGAAAAATGTTCAACATCATTGGTAGTTTGAGAGATGTAAATGAAAACAACACTGAGGTCCCATCTCACCATGGAAAGAATGGCTATTATCAAGGAATCAGGCAATAACATATGCTGGAGGGGCTGTTGGGAAAAAAGAACCCTTCTCCACTGTTGGTGGGAGTGTAGACTGGCACAATCACTGTGGAAATCAGTATGGAGATTCTTCAAAAAAAAAAAAAAAGGATTGGAGGTCCCATTCAACCCAGATATTTCTCTTCTGGGTATCTTTCCAGAAGAATTAAAAACATAGTACAGTTATGTATGTGCGCCCATGTTTATAGAAACGTAATTTGTAATGGCTAAATCCTAGAAACAACCCAAATGTCCATCAACTGAGGAATGGATGAAAAAGATGTGGTCTTTTAATACAATGGAGTAGTATTCCTCTATAAGGAAGGATAAACTGGAGACTTATTTCTAGATAAATGGCTGCAACTCAAGACCATACTTATAAGTGACAAAACCAGATGCACATGTGTAAATGTAGTATTGTTTCCCTACAGTGAGAAGCTGAAAGAGTAAATAAGATCTAAAATGGAAAAAAAAAGTACAATAGATACTATAAAATGGGAAGAAATTTCAAAAAGAGAGAAACTGAGGGGAATAGAGAGAAGAAGAAATGGAAAAGCAAAAGCAAATAACTAGATAAGATGATAGTCATACTACTACTCTGAATTCATTGAAAAATTAGGTTTGTGCTAAACATTGTTTGGAAAATTAAATGCTGATATTTTTGTCCTCCGAGTATTGATCATTGTTATCCTTCTATTATATTGTCTTGTAATTTTGTTTTTTTCTTTAAAGTTAAATAAATGAAAATAAAAACCACTGAAGAACTGGAAAATTGAGCAGAGCCTACATTTCCACAAATTGCTTTTACAATTAGCTGCCATCTTAGATATGTCTTGTTCAGTTTGAAAATCAGGGGTTCATTGAAAACGTATTTATAAAGCACCTTTTTATGGTAAGAATATACCAAATAGTTTATCTCCCATAAAAAATTTTCATTTATTGGTGCTCATTAATGTTCAAAATTCTAGGTTTCAGTGTGGTATTTCCATACATGTATACTTTGGCCATATCCACCCCTCCATTGTCTTCCCTTACACCCTTCTAAATTCCATTCTTCTTGCTAGTAATAGTCTTCTCTCTACTTTTGCAGACCCCACATTAGGGAAAACATGTAATTCTTGTTATTTGAATCTGGCTTATATCTCTTGATGTTCAATTCCATTTATTTTCTTGAAAATGATGTAATTTTGTTTTTCACAGCCAAATGATATTCCACGGTACATGTACACCACATTCACTTTATCCATTCATGTGTTGATGAACACTTTCGCTCATTCCCTATCTTGGTTATGAATGCTTAGCACCTATTATTGCCAGATACTATTTTAGGCTCTAAGGATACAGCATTAAACAAAATTCATAATGGAATTTATGTTTTAATGAACAAACTAATAATCTTAGAAAACAATAAATGCTATTAAAAACGAAGAGGCAAGGTTAAGAGAGACAGGGCACGTGTGGGTGGGAAGGGTGCTTGCATTTTTATGTTCATTTTAAGTACCTGGCTGGATACTACAAGAATCTGAATTCATGACTTGCTAATACCGGAACTGTCATATTTGTTAGGCCCCGACCCTATAAAACCTCAGCAAGTCGAGGCAGGAGTGAACCTTCTCTGTCTTTGCAGTTCCAGGGCCACGCAGTGTTTTTATGAAAAACACGACAGAAACAAAGGTTTGAGTCTCCACAGAGCCCCAGTGGTTATTTGTCATCCGCGACTAGGAGGGTGACATTTTGCCAGAGAGCACAGCCAGATAATCTATCCATTCCCAAAGCTGTTTACAGGGGCGAACGCAACAGTTGGCCCAAGACCACCCGGTGGAAACCTGCGAGCCCAGAAACAAATACAGGTGCCCCTCCAGGAATATCCTGGGAGACCGCGCCCTCTGCCGCACCATCTCCATCACTACAGCTTCCGGGTCTCCGGCGTCTTGCATTTCTAGGAGGGAAAACTTCCGGCCTCGAAGGTCCCCGGCTCCGTGGCCCGCTGAAGGTCCTAAGGATAGAAAGGTGGCCTGGGCGGACGCCTGAATTCTACGAAAGTCTGGGTTGGGACTCCTGTTTCTTCTTGCAAGATGACTGCGACAAGTGCGCTGTGGAAATACTGGCGACCGGTAGGATCTCTCTCGGGAGGGACTTGGGGGCGGAACGTGGGTGCAGAGCGCGGACTGGGAGCCGGCCTGTCAGGCAGGAGCTGGACAGCCGCGGTGGCGGAAGTGCCGAGACAGCAGCGGCCAGAACCGAGCTGTCTAGGAAGACGCGGCGGGGAACAGCAGCGCAGCCTCGGCCAGACCGCAGCGACTGGGGTCGGCTGTCGGCGAGATGCCTCTGTTCGCCGCCAACCCCTTCGAACAGGATGTGGGTGAGTGCCTTTTCCGGCCTAGGACGCCTGTAAGTCCAGCAAGAAAGTGGGCGGCGGCGATTTGGAGACTGGGAAGTGAGCGGGGAGGGAAGGGGCGGTGCCGCCGCCCGAACGGCGGGGTCTTGTGCCGGGCGACCTCCGCGCGTCGCTGGGAGCGTGGGGCGCGCCTCCTGTTGGCCTGAAATCGGGGACCCTGACAAGGGCCTCTCCCCTCGCCACGCCCGGGAGTAGGAAGAGCCTGGGTTTCGCTGCAGGCTGCCTGCGGAGTTGGTGATAGAAACTTTCTTCTGCCTGAAGAGCTAATTTCCCTCCCCTCTTGAAGATGATGCAGCAGTGGGGAGCCCTTGCTGCTCTTAGCGCCCCAAAACTAGAGACCTCGACTTGCGGTCGGTAAAAAGGGAGAATTCAAGTCCTGATAGTGCAGCTTCAGGAGGTTACTACGCTCGTGACGATGCTGTGAGGGGTTCTGCCTTGAGAGGACGAGCAGGAAAACTTGCGACTCTCCCAGCGGTCCAGGACAGCGCTCATTTGTTGGGGCAAGATATTAATTGATCTCGTAGCACTGGTCTTTTGGTGACCGTAGATGAGGAAAAGGTGGACGCGATGTAAGAACTTAACTTTGGGCATTAGGATAGTCATGAGCCAAGGGGTCCGGGAAAATGCTTTTGTAGCAGTAGTTAACAAATATCTGGGTAGACGTTTTAGGATTTAGGATGAAGGAAAAAAGCATGGCTGAAAATCGGCCAAGTCACGCAAAACACTGTACATTTTAACAGTGAGCCACCTGTTCTGTAGTTTAAAGTTAAATTATAAAGACTAGAAAGTGCCCCATTTTGGTAGTGACCCCACGACTGTTCAAAGGAGGTAAATACTTGTAGTTACACGTTTACCCTGGGTCTTCGAGTAGGTGAAGCTGAATGCCTTTCGTTCAACCTTGTTCTTGTTAGACGAGCACAGGTGACTGGCGTAAGTCTAGGAGACGTGCTGAGACTCACGCTCTGCTTTTGGAACACGTTTCTTCTTTTGCTTCAGTTGTACTACGTGATACCTGGAATTTTGTGGTTGTTTTGTTTTGTTGAGACAGAGTCTCAAATTGTAGTTCAGGCTGGCTTTGAACTCAGTGTGTAGCCCAGGCTGATCTTGAAATTGAGGTCTTCTTGCCTCAGCAATAGTGTAAAAAGCTTGTACTCTCACACCCAACTGAGACCTATGTATTTATTTTTCTTGTGACGCTTTCATTTATTTGAAGTGAAATGAAAGATGAAACAAAATAGTATAAGGCATTATTTTAAAATTTAGCTGGCAAGTGCAAGGGCCTGAGTTCAATCCCCGGTTCCACAAAAAAAAAAAACAAAAAAAAAAAAAAACAACTAAACTAAACTAAAATTTAGTAGCTGCAGACTTTCTTCAAGGTAAATGTTTCCTGGAAGACCATTGTTATCCAGTTCCTAACTCTGCTGGTAGAAGTAGGCTGAATTGCTCTGCCTGTTTTGCTTCCCAGTGGCCCCTGAGGTCCTTGCATGCTTTAGCAGGTCACACTTTCATACTGCTGTAATAAAAGAGGCACTGGCAGTTGCTCATTGATTTGGTTTGGTTTGTTTGTTTTTGTTTTTCATGGACAGTGTTATCACCAATTTCAAGTTAGGGGTGAAAGAGTGAGTTTGAGGCCCTATAATTTCTAAACAGGGGAAAAAATGAAACACAAAGGGAACTTAAACTTATATAACAACAAAAATGAGACATTGTATTTTTAGATCTTAAGGCTTCTTTTAATTTTAAATAGGTAGTACAAAGTAAGTCATGATCTGATTTGACTTCAGTGTTTTAGTGCTAGGAAGTGAACCCACGGCATGGTAAGTGAATCCTCTATCACTGAGTCACATTCCTAGCCCATTGGTTTAAGGCTTTCACTGGAATTTTCCTGTGTGCTGTCATCCTTGCACTTATTCTCTTTGACTTAATCATATTTTATGACTTTTTTTGATTATAATCTTTGTTCACTCTTCATTCAGCAACATGTATCAAAAAGTTATGGTGTGTCAGGCATTGTGTTAAGTTCTGGGGCCACAAAAATGAATACAGAGTTCTTGCCCTTCAGGAGCTTTCAATTTAATGTAGGATGCATACCTAAATAGGAAAGTGTAGTATCATATGATAAATATAATACAATAAATGTAGGAATAAATGTATGCTTTATATTTTCCCACTGTTTATTTACTTTTATTTTTATTTTTTTGGGGGTTTTGTTTTGTTTTTGAGACAAGGTTTTGCTATGTAGTTCAAGCTGGCCTTGAACTCACTTTGTAGCCCAGGCTGGCAGTGATCCTCCTGCCTCAGCCCCCTGATTAGTTTTAATTCTTTTAGACAGGCTCTCATGAAGTAGTTAAGGCTGTCCTTGAATTTGCTGTCTAGACCAGGTTGACCTTGAACTCCCAGGGACCCTCCTGAATGTTGAGATCATGGGATTGTGATGCCACGCCCAACCATCCTCCCTTTTGCTTAAAATGATCTTTCTGAAAAGGTGAGAAACACTTTGAGGTAAGAACTTTACACTATCCTTCTCAGAGTTCTACCCCTACTTTTAGCAGCAGGAAGTAGTTACCTCTTACTGTACATGTGATATGGTTATTCACCAAAGGCTTTCCAAGGGGTAGGTACAAATGACATAGTTACAGTGGGAAGTTTTAGTGCTTAGCACTGAGAGAGAGATTATTTCTCTATATTCTGTACCAGTTATTCCAGTTAAACTATATTGGTTCCTGAGTCATGTCTTGTCTCTTCTGTGCACTAACTCCAGTTCGTGTTTATCTTTTTCCCCTTATTTACGAGGCTTTTTTGTGTGTTCCTGGCTCTGTGCTGAACACCATTGATTGTAAATGTTTGCTGCTTTCAACAATTTTAGTATCTCTGTCTTAAAGATACATTCACTTTTGTTTCACAGAATTCTGTAAAGTTCTTTTGAAATAGTTTGAAGTGGAAACTTTTATTTAAGAGGGTATTTTTTCCAGGTGAATTAAGAATATGTGTATTGCTGTATTTTTTACTTTTGTTGTGTTAGCAGAACTTGGGGCTTTCAGTCATGCAATTTTTTTCTCCAGGGAAATTTTGTAAGAAACCCCACTGTAAAAGCATATAGTGATAGTATTCAGTGATACAACTTTATTGTATTCAAATTTATGAAATGTATTTAAGCCATCCTTGAGCATACTTGTTATAACCTTTGTAAAAAGTTAAAAAAAAATGGTTACAGATGAGAATGGTATCCTCAACAGCCAGTTTTTCCTATATCTTATTTTACTTGCATAGGACCAACCCCCCCCCCCAATATTTTCAGAAGTTACAATTGCTTTTTTCTTTTTTCCTGGTACCAGGGATTGAACTCAGGACCTTGCACTTGCCAGGCAGGCACTTAAGTTGCTGAGCTGTCTCCCTGGTCCCCTGAAGTTACAAATTTTAATCAATATATTTTGAGGTCTTTTTTTAATTTTTGGTAAAGTATGAAATACTTTTAGCATAAAGTATAAGATATAACATATAACATTCCTATTAGCCAATAGTTCCAACTCTTAATATTTGGACATGATTAACATTTATTTATTTATTTTTGTATTTTAGGGAAGAGTCTACAGGGTGTTCAGGGTCTCACTGTTAGATTGGACCTGTAGTGATATGCCTATTTACAGCCTCCCAAGAGCTAGGACTACAGGAGCATGCCACCATGCCCAGTCTCAATTGCCATTGCAGCGCGCCCCTGGGGGCGAGGCCTGCACAGCTGGCCTGAGGAATGAACCCCAGGCCCCTGCGACTGCTTGCAGGTGCTTTGATTTTTTTTTTTTTTTTTTAGAAAATATTATATACAGTTGAAATACTTTAGTACTTTTAGCAGCTGTCTTATTTTATTGTTCCCATTCTCAGGGTTAAATGTTCTTCTGGTAGATAGAAGTCCTATTTTGTAGCTATGTTTTGCAGCCCTTTTTCTGTCATCAAAACATCAGCCAATTAGCAACTTTTGCCAAGCACCTCTGCTGAGAAGAATATTATTTCTAGAAACCTCAGACATTTGGTTTTGCTCATTCTTTTCCCCTATCTTTTCCTTTATTTTTTTATTTTTTATTTTTTGGCAGAACTGGGGATTGAACTCATGCCTTTGAGCTTGCCAGGGAAGCGCTTATTCTACTGAGCCATCTCCCCTGCTCCCTTTATTCTCTAGGACAAAGTTCCACAGAGTTTATTAGCATGTTCACTTGTTCTAGGTGTTATAGACACTGTGTTCATCTTCTAGGTGTACTAAATATTATTCCCATCTTTTAATGTTTAAGGGCAACAGTTTCTTAATGGATCTATATAGTTTCTTGTGCTTGGAGGAGAAATACCTTTTTGTCCCTGTTATACCCTGTGGAACACTTGGGCTCCTTATAATAGAGACTTGTTACAGCTGTCACTGTTAGTTTTGAGGAAACCTTGGGCCGGAGAGATGGCTCAGTAGAATAAATGCTTGCCTTGCAAGCACAAGGGGCTGAGTTCAATCCCTGGTTCCACCAAAAACAAAACAAAACAAAAAAAAACACCCAAAAAACCACCTTTATTTACCTACAGTGAAGGAATTTTGAAGATGTGATATCCTATGAAGTAGTTGCCATTGTGACTTTTAATGTGTACCGAGGGACTGTATTTAATAGTTTTCATGATGAAGAAGACAGCAAGATGCTGGGAATGTTGCTCAATTGGTGGAGCACTTGCCTGGCATAGTTAAGGCCCTGCATTTAATCCCTAGCAGTGGAAAAAACAAAACAAAAAAATCATAAAGGGAAATGGAAGATTTAAAAGTTTTAAACAGTCTCCTTATTTAGTGTGCAGGTGACTACATGATCTCTGCAGGGGGAAATCATTATATGCACTATGTGTATACCTATGAAGTCCCTTCTTTTTTCTGAGATGGTGTTTTGATATGATGCCCTGGCTGGTTTCTAAGTCTTCTGCTTATGGGATCCTCCCATGTT